TTATTTTTGTTCCCTTTTTAAAAGCATTTTAAAAGCACGATTTCTCAAAGATGACTGGACGGATTCTCATGAAATTTTCAGAGATGATAGAGTTTAAAAATATCTATCAAATGCAGTTTTCAGTTTTTCAAAATGCACTTCCGGTCGTCAGATATGTCCGATTTCCGCTTTTTTCAAAATAATTTTGTCTGATTCATATCTCAGAAACGGTAAGAGATTAAGATACTAAACTTATATGACTAATAGATCTTGATAAGTAGGCGTGCCCATTTGTGTTAAGATCGTCCGCCGTCACTTCCGGTCGTCACAGGAAGTGATTAAAGGAATCGAAAATTTCAACTTTTCTCTATTGAAACTTTTTATGCATAACATTATTGCATCTAATTTGTAGTTTCGAAATATATCAGTCCCACCGGAAACAAAAACGACAACTTCCGGTTATAAGAGAAAATCTACATATTTGGAGTATTTTTCTTTCCCATAAATATATTTTATAGAAAAAGTATTTGTAATGATTTTTTGATATGTTATTTAGACTGCAAATGTCTACAGTAACGTCAAATATCTTTGTAAAATTCACTTCCGGTCGCGTGATTTCCTGTCCTCAAAATGAGAAGTTATCAAAGCTACATCTCGTAAACAGTAGGATATTAAGACACAAAACTTATAGGAGTGATATATCTTGATGAGTAGGCAAAATCAGTTTAAATAAAAATCGTCAGCCGTCACTTCCGGTCGTCACAGGAAGTGATCCAAAAAATCGAAATTTTTAACTTTTCTTTTATGAAACTGTTTTTGCATCACATTATAGCATCTTATTTGTAGTTTTGAAATATTTCAGTACTACCGGAAACAAAAAACGTCAACTTCCGGTTATAAGAGAAAAACTACATATTTTGAGTATTTTTCTTTCTCATAAATATTTTCTATTTATAAAGTATTTGTAATAATTTTTGGATATGTTATTCAGACTGCAACTGTCTACAGTAACTTCAAATATCTTTGTAAAATTCACTTCCGGTTGCATGATTTCTTGTCCTCAAAATGAAAAGTTATCATAGCTAGATCTCGTAAATGGTAAGAGATTAAGACACACAACTTATTGGAGTGATAGATCTTGATGAGTAGGCAAATCCATTTTGGTTAACATTGTCCGCCATCACTTCCGGTTGTTACAGGAAGTAACAAATAAATAAAAAATTTCAACTTCTCTTATGGAATCTTTTTTAGAAATACATTATAGCATCTAATTTGTAATTTTGAAATATGTCAGTCCCACTGGAAACAAAAACGACAGCTTCCGGTTATACGAGAAAAACTGCATAAATTTAGTATCATACTATCCCATAAATATTTTTTATAAAAAGAGGATTTGAAATGATTTTAGGATATGTTATTCAGACTGAAATGTCTAGAGTAACCTCAAATATCTTCAAAAATTTACTTCCCGTCACGTGATTTCTTGTCCTCAAAATGAGAAGATAATATAACGAGATCTTTTAAACTGTAACAGATCAAGACACTAAACTTATATGAATAATAAACCATGAAGATTGGGCAACAAATAAAGCGTAAAATGCGTCCACCGTCACTTCCGGTCGTCACAGAAAGTGAAAAAAAAATTGAAAATGATTTTTGTACATGTTATTAATACTATAATTGTCTAAAGTAAAGTAAAGAATCTCGGTAAGTTATACCACCGGCCGTTTGTTTTCCTGAAATCATTTAAAATATTATATGCCTTTTTTTAACATAGATAAAAGCTCATTCATGCAGATAAATAGAGGAGAACGGAAGACCTTCTTTGTTGCTGTAGCAACAAGAGTTTCTAGTTATTATTATTATTATTATTCTTATTTTTTAGACAAATTTTGTGCACGCGATATCTCGAGAACTATTTATCGGTTTTTCATCAAACTTTCAGGGATAATGCGCTCTTATATGCCATTGATAATTTTGGAAGAATTTTGGAACAACTCGCTTTAAGTGCCAAGTTATGGCCATTTTCCTGATTTTAAATTGAAATTTTGTCAGTTCGAGATCTAAAGAACTACTAGAGATATTAACTGGAGACTTGTTGGAGAACATTGGGCATGACTTCTAGATATGCGGAGGGTCCTTCTCATGTGTCGTCAGTACTTCCGGTCGCTACCAGAAGAAAATTAAAAAAAATCAAAATTTTCAACTTTTTTGTTTTTCATTATTTTTCTGTGATTTTTATAGGGTTAATAGAGACTCTTTACTGAATTCTAAATGTGTAATTTGTTTTAGAATTGAGAGAGCCAATCTCGAGATATTCGAATTTAAAAATTTGAAGCGGCGTTCCCGATGGCGTAATGGTTAGCGCGTTGGATTTTCACGCGGGCGACCCGGGTTCGATCCCCCGTGTGACCGATATTTTTTTATGACTTTCTCAGCAAGATTTTTCATTTTTTATTACAGAATCGGACGGAAGACCTCTCGTTGCTCGCAACGAGATCGTTTCTAGTTCTTTTAATATTTATAATACTTTGTCCATTATGGTTGGGGCATATTTAGGGTCTTAATGCCCCTGATTCTTTAACTAGCGGTTAACTTTGCGAAACACACATTTAATCCTGATTTCAATTTAGACACGATTGCATTATTAGGGCTGTGTTACAACGCGAAATGTAATAACACCGCGAAATGTAATAAACATGGATTATTACATTTTGCGTTATTACATTTTGCGTCGCGATCAACGCAAAATGTAATAACGCAAAATGTAATAACACTTTCTTTTAGATCATTACATTTCGCGTTATTACATTTTGCGTCGAGATCAACGCAAAATGTAATAACGTGCTTTTTCGTTGTTACATTTTGCGTTATTTTATTTTTGCACTGAAGACAACGCAAAATGTAATAAAACAATATGTAATAAAACAAAATATGATTAATATTTAAAAGGATTGCGTTGAACAAAAAATATCATAGAATTGATTCAAATATATATATTTAATCAACATGGGAAACGCGCTGTAAAATAATATTTTTAACTAAAACAATGAAATCAACATTAGGGCTTTTTCCGGACATAAATACATCAATATGTATCGTTTTTCTGACTCTGATTTTAGTTATATGAATACACTGTACTTAATTATAAAGCGGTTAATTTAACTGTGATTGGCATATTTTTGATAGTCTTATTTAATTTCTAACCAATAAAACATATTTAATTAACAAAGATTGACCATAGGTTCATTAAAAGCTCTTGATATGCATCTTCAGCACGTGTACATTGGTTAACAAATGAAAAGAAGTGTGTGTGTGTGAGGGTGTGTGTGTGTGTGTGTGTGTGTGCGTGTGTGGCTCCCCCATAATGGGGACCTGCTATAGATACGCAAGTCGTAAAATGGGGACATAAAAAACATTGGGGACTTGATTTAAGTCCCCAATCTTTTTTATCGTTGAAAACGAAAAATTGACATGTCTAAATCCTAAAAATATCAAAAAAATAACGTGTCCCAGTTACGGGGTTTTATCGGACACATGATTACACAGATATCGTGTTGATTGAAATTGCCATCTTCACTTACACATCTCTGACGTTACACACTTCTAGATTACGCATGCGCGTGTGTAAAAAAAGCGGAAGTCCAATTGTTTGAAGCGGGATACAATAAACATGTGGAAAAGAAGACACAGAGGAAAGCCTGGGCACAGAATCCTAGATTCTTTTGATAAGGATGATTTTTATGCTGGAAAACGGTATGTTATCTACTTCTTGGATAAAATATGGTGCGAGGAAACTTGCATCAAAGTATTAATTATTGAAGGGGGGAGGGGGCAGTAACGATATAGGCCTATCGGGTACTCAGTTGAAATGAAAAGACAGTTATTTATGTGATTTTCTTTCTTGAAATGGTACACAATTTATGATATTCATTTCACAATGATTTAAAATTCATCAAATGCAAGGTATATTAATCGAATGTGTTTTGTATATCATGTCAACATGAAATGACCTTTACTAAGTTTTAACTGAACTAAATCCAGTCCACTTTAATTGGAGAAAATGGAAATGTAGTTTGTATGTGTGAGTTTTTTTTTTAGCCAATAGTGAGATCGGATTGTACCAATCCCCCCCCCCCTTCTTCTTGAGATCTGCAACTTATTGTTTTTAAAGCCAAACCTAAAATCGGGTTGTACCAAACACCTCAACAACCCACCCCCTTCTTCTTGAGCTCAGCAACCTACTTCTGGTGTTGTTTTCTTTTCATTTTTTAAAGCTAAAAGTGAGATCGGATTGTACCCCCCCCCCTTTCACTTGAGAGAGAACATACAGTGTAGTTATCAATTCAACATATATTTTACTTGTCCTATAATATATAGACATTACTAATACAATAATAGCCTACTCAAAATGCACTTATTATCTACTGCTAAAGAGCAAATAATTGAAAATCAAGTATATATTGTTTTCATGTTGTTTATATTAAAGAAACTTGGGCTGAAGCATCTTTTAATTTAAAAAGCTACCACATTACTTATATGACAGTACAATTCATTAAGTGACAATTATATTTTCCACATTTTTTCTTAATTATTATCATTTTACAGCATTCTTTAAAAAAAAATCACATTTGATCTCTCTAAGGGCCTGTATGTGTTATGGGCATTGGAATAAAAATGCTCAGAAAGAAAATATAGATAAAAACGTATGTCTTGAACAAATTTTATTAATGAATTTTTTTTCTTCATATAATTATTATCCTTAAACATGTTAAAAGATATAGAATTAAACTAGAATATAAAAATCATGCAAACTTGTGTTTATTAGATTTTTTTTAATCAGGTCATTATATCCTAAAGCAGGACATTATACCCCTGTCGTTTTTATTATGTCCAATAAAAATTTTAAATATTTTATTTCGCATTTTGCCACGATTCTCATAGAAGATAACAATATTTATCATTTCCAATAAAAATGATATTGTGTATGCACCAAAACTGACAAAAAACTATTTATTATAATCAGTCAGGACATTGTACTATAAGGGCATTATACACTTCCGGTGTAAACAGCTTACTCAGGAACTGAGGAAGCAGGTAAGGCATGGTTTGGACTGAAAAAAAAAACCACGTCCTTGTTTGATTCCTTGAAACGATTGTGTAATTATGTTCTGGAGACTTGAAGTCTGTACAAAGACACACTACTTTAAAGTAGTTTCATGTCGACCGCTTTATACCTGTTAGACAGATCATGGATAAGCCTTTCCGAATTCCCTCGGTTTAATAGACCCTATCAAGGTTATTGGCCGCCATCTTGGACTGGGGGCAAACATTGGGGGCTGACGTCATAATAACAATGGCCGAATCGAGCTCCGCAGCTGACGATGCAGCGAATATAATCGCCGCGTATAATTTACCTGCGTCGTAACAAGTGTACCTAGGTGTGCAGAAGAGACCCCAAGGTAATGTTTTTTTTACCATAAACAAGTATTTTATCTTTGATTTCCACTTTAATGACGTAAGTTGCATATTTACTCAAGGTTGTCAAAACCACGTGGCCGAAGGAAACGCTTCCTGTACTTTGGAGGTCGGTCATGTTTTGCATTGCCCTGGCTATATGCGGCATATTTCAGTACTGTAATTTTTGTGGTCTTATGTGGAGATGATTTGGATGCTAGGCAACTTTTTTCCGAAGGCCTGAGACAAAATTTAAATTTTTTATAGAGCTTTGAAATCGGCCAAAGGGGGTGAGATATCGGAAAAATAGAATACATCGGTATAAGATGAGCTCTAATGATCAATATCCAAGGTTGAACATTATTTTTAATTAATATAATTAATTTCATATAAATAAACTATATTTTGTATACTATATATATAAAATAAGTGTCATTAATTCATTACACCTTTACTGTACTTTCCTAGTCACTAGTCATTCACAGTTCAGTATTGACATTGTTTATACAGAAACTCTTGCAAGTATATACATGTACAAGGGGGTCAACTTCAAGAAAAAATATATGAAAGATATAAAGACACCTTGAAAAAAGTATTTTTCCCCGTGAAAATATTTTTTTCATCACTGCAATTTTGAATGCTTCTATTATGATTAAGAATATTGCTAGCTATTTGCACAAAACTTTAAAATTGAGTGAGATTTACATATATTTTAAAATACACTGAACATAAATATAGCAAATATTTTACATGCATAAAATAAGGTATGACTATCCTCAAATTCATGTTTAGTCAATTATAAACAAGGAGAAATAAAATAAATAAAGAAAAAAAAGAAATATTAAAAAGAAACCAAAAGGATTTTAATATTGATTCATGTATAGTTATACCAGAAAAAATATCCATGGTGCATGCATATGAAGAATAATTATGCAATTTTACACAATTTAATATTATTGTAGAAGAGAGGATGTCCCAGAAACATCTGGAGGTTTGATTAGGAGTCAGAGTTAAAGACACAGGATATGACATGACAGGATGCAGCTAAAGCAGCTCCAAATCGAGTTTGTTGGAGAACGTCGATGGCCTATGTTCCTCACAGAAAGACAGGCTGAAGTAAGTACAGGAAGTAAGTAGCAGGTACATGTGATTGTGCTTTCAAACTTTGTTATTTGAATTTTAAACAAACAAATTAGTTTTGAAATTAAAGTAAATCCCTGTGTAAATACATGCATTTTAATTTTAAAAAAAGGAATTTAAAGGTTTGAAAATAAAAATGATGAACTTTTTGCTTCATAGTTATAAACAGCCAATGAAATTGGATCAAAAATTACAAAAAAATATACAGCAAAACTCGGTTATAACGAAGTCACTGGGACCTGTGAAATTACTTCGCTATATCCGTAATTCGTTATAACCATATAAGAAAATCATTAAATTTATATAGCTGGGGATCAAAGATGACTTCGCTATATCCGTAAATTCGCAATATCAATGTTCGTACTAAACGAGTTTTACTGTAGTAGCATTGAGACATAATACCACCAAATTACAAGCATGAATAATTCCTTATATGCTAAGATCTTCCTCATTATTGCAAAGCAAATTGTTATTTTTTAAATATTTAGTTTTAAGAAATGGATATTTACAATATATGAATTTTATCAATTACCAAAGATATTTCATTAGGAAATTATTATTTTTTTTATAATTATACATGATTACATGTACCTACAAAATATCTATTTTTTCAGAAGAGTGCTCTTTCAATACTGCATGGCAATATAAACAGTATATGCCTCAAGTAAGTTTTAACTCTTCATATTTCAAATTTAAAGGAGATCAAGTTGTTCTGCATTTTTGCAACTTTTGCTTTGAAATGCAGTTATGTTGAATGATTAAATGACTCTTCTTGAGAAAGAGGTCGAGAAATGTGTGAAATGTATTTTTTTTTAACTGTTTAATAAATCAATTATTAAAGGCTATTTGCAATGATTTGAAACCACCTGTAGATTCAAAATGCATAATCATTTTACAAAGTTATACTTAATTATCATAAATGATAGTCTCTGTGCTATTTCTTTTTCAACAGATTTCTTTCTGATAAAATCATAGATGCTAAACTCTGGAGAATAATGGTCCTACTCCTGTGAAATGTATAATCTCCTCATTGCAGATTTTGAAGAATCCTCAATTCAAATCCAGACTGCGGCAGCCCTACATGTAGCTGTTGGACTGTTTATGGGATAACAATAATCAAAAGTCATGATATCGACGCATGGATTTTATCTCATCTTGATTAAATGTAGAGAAATCACAAACAGTCTATTTTGTGAAAGAAAGTGAAAGAGAAAGGATCATTTTGTATTGTCCTTTTGAATTTGCTAGGAAGTTTTTTTTTTATGAACTTTAAATTACCGCCTATGTACATATTTTAGTTGAAAGACAAAGTACACTTATTTACACCAAAATACTGATTAGCTTCAACTAAATATCAAGGATTTACATTTGCCAAGAATATTTTAATTTTACTAATTTGATGTTATATATTACAATTATTTGATATACAATGTAAATACCTATAATACTTACTTTAATATATATAATTACTTTGCATATATTTGCATGTATACTCAGAAAAATCAAATGAATGTTTTTTTTCAAAGTTGTTACAATAAGAGCTATTTAAAAGGAAAGAAAAAAAATTTGACATGATATTAAAACTTGTATTTTTATTTCAGCTTGTAAAAAATACATGTAATAATCATGATAAATAATAAATTTGTACATATATGTAAAATTGTTTTCAATTGAGAATACTTGACTCTCTTTAGCGCTTGATCCTTGGGATGTCATGTGCTAAATATGAATGTGATTTACCCACATTTTAAAATTGAGCTCTAGATCTAGCTGCCAGGTCTGTTGAAGAAATTTCAGGGTGATGGAGGAAGGGGGGATCAACTGAAAAGTAACGTTTTGAGGAGCAAAAACAATGTTCATATTAATAATCAGGGGGACACGACATCTGTATAGAAAAGCTTATTGTATTGTGTGATGTGTATATATTGTATCCATGGGATTTAATATATTGAGGGGTAAATGGTAATACCCAAATCCACACATGTTTTTATTTCATGTCTGCTTGCTAAATTGCTAAACATTATACAGTGATCCATTGACGAGTGAATCAAAGAATCTAATTTCCCTAAATTTGTAATTTTTTTTTCATACAGTTTTTTTTACAGGAGGAGGAGAGTAGGGGATTGTTGTACAATGATCATGCAAAAAGGAAATATAGGAATTCCTTGTTTTCTGCTGAAAGCAAATTTTTCACTTATTGTCGGACTGATCACAAGGATAGTTTGACTGTATATTCAAGATGAATATGCTTAAGAAAGAGTACCTGCTTAAATTTTTTCATGAGGAATATAAGCCAGATATTTTGTCTACAGTTCTTCTGTGACCTTTCCTCAATTGAATTACCGGTATATATTTCCGCAGCTGGACAATCACAGAGATTTCATATACAGTGTATATATATAAGTAATGAAAATAAACATAGGATGTATAAATTCTATTTTTATACCCCTCTGAAGGAGAGGGGGAATACTGTTTTGCCTGTGTCAGGCGTGTGCGTCAGTCCGTCTGTCTGTCCAAAACAAATTTTTTGGTTGCAGTTTTCTCAGCAACTACTCATCACAGATGCTTGAAAGTTTAGCACATCTTTGCTGAGGCATGCCATTTGGTGGGATTTCATTTTTCTATGAATTGGATGTCAACTTCCTATTGATCAGTGCATCTGCCTGTAACTGTACTCGAGTTTATTAATGTAATACATGTATTGTACATTCACATCAGAGCAGAGGTTTAACTGGTGAGCATCGGCTCGCAGACTTCTTGTTAGATTAGCATGAAATAGAAAAGGGGAAGTCGCATGGTATTGTTACAATAATATACACAAGTGATGGATGAAATATCATATCAACAAAATGATGTCCTAAACAAAGAAAAGGTCTTCAATACATGTGTACGTGTATTTGGATTCTTGTACAATCTTGATTCTTGAAAACTAACATTTTTTGGTGTTTTAATAAATGTCAATGATTAAATTTAAAGCATAAGATAATTAACCAGGTAAATGTATTGAATCAGAGACTTTGCATCACTAGTCAGAAGCTATAACTTTTGAAGTACTATTAATGTCAATACACAGTCTAAGTCTTGTATAGCTTTAAAAGTCCCAAAAATTGTAAAAAGCATTGTAAACCTTATTTAATAATTTTAACAGCTAAGCAGAAATTTACACACACAGTGCACATATGACACGGACAATTTTTTTTATATGATTAAAATCATTTTTTAAGAATAACTGTTTGAATAAATTTATATAATTATTTACTTTGAAGTTCCAATTTTGACATTATATACACATGCCACATATTTTTAAATCATTGTATAATATTGCACATGGTTAATATTTTTAATTATTTTTATTTATTTTTATTTATTTTAAATTTAATTAATTAAAAGTACCTAAAAACAGATGTTTTTATGGGCTTAAAAAATTATTCATTCAGTACTTCTTAATATATTCTCAGTTGGATCCGCCTGCGTCAGTGGTATAGATAAAAGAAATTAATTAAAAAAAAAAACATCTAAGTAAAAGATAAAATGTAAATGAGTGTTTTTATTCTTAAACCTTCTTTTGTTTTGATTTCCACAAATATTTCTGCTTAAAATGTAGGAAGAGGATAGATAGAAACGTAACATAAGCACTCAATCTCCGCACGTTTTACATGGTGCACGTTGTAGTATTGCAGTTCATTTAAGGTAAATAAACACAAATTATTAAAGAAAATGTTCTTTTTTAGAATGAAATATATTGCTTACAATACGTATACGTTCAGTTCTAAATGACAATGACTGTGAAGCGATCGCTAGACGAAAATTGATGCGGTGCATCTGCATCAGCTCCCATTGTTTACGTTAGCTACGATGTCGCGTGATGCCCCCAATCCAAGATGGCGGCCAATAACCTTGAAAGGGTCTATTCTCATTTCACTGTTAGTGTGTTTGTTTATATACAAACAGCTTTGAAATTGAATTTTTAAGAATTCATTATAATTGTAATGTATATCATATGATATGATCTTTTTTAAAGCAGGGTGCAATGTATTCAATTTTTGTATCCTTTCTATCAGAAAAGTCATAGGCTATAATAAGAATCATTTGCCTTGTTTAATGTATTGTGGTATATTAAGTTTATTTATGAATTCTTAAATTATTTCATTTCGATCCCGATGTAAATTATCTAGCTTATATTTGGAAACACCCACTTTTATGCGACCATCAGATCGGGGAGGAAGACGACTGGCTTAATTCTCTAAAGCTACACTCTTCACATACTAGAATCATCTTTTTCAATTCGTCCATCTGTTTATATTGCTTTTATAGTTTATATTTGTGTTAGACTATATTTTGGTTGGGGGTAAATTATGTACATCGTACGAACATTATAGCAGTTTTCTGTAAGACTTGTAATAAATTTGTAAATTCGGAATACCAATATTGACCTCATAGAACAACACCTACATGTAGTATCGCGAGTACCTCACAGATATAAATTCTTACTACCGCTCTTTTGCAAGGGAGTAGAGAAGGCTCTAAATTTCACAATTTAGATTTCTGGGGTATAACAATGTTTACACTAGTGACAATCGATAATTATGATTCAAACAACCATTATGCCGAAAGTACAGTGAATTGCCAAGAATTGAACTCTAAATAGTACAAATATAGCTAGATTATCAAATAAGGAAAGTTAAATAAATACTTTAAAAAGTAATGATGTTCAATGAGAATTTTATGAGAAAAGTCCGCTCTAAAGAGAAAAGTAATTGTTAAAAATGTAACATATATGTATGAGGATAAGCTCCTCTCTCAGATTTATTAGGCTGGTTAAGCATATGTTTAGCAAGATATTTCACTAGGATTTCTTTCTTACTGTCTGCAGGGTTATTTTCCCCCCATTTAATTTTTGCCCTTTCACACTTGCAAACAATTTTGCCCCGGTTTAACGTAGGTCGCGGGTTTGCTGACGTCATTAAAACTGGGTACGCAATTTATATGATTTGGGCGACTTTCTTGTGCACATCTGATTATGACGTCACGGTGAGAAAGGGAAAAATTCAGTACGTTATCTAGCTATAACTTTTGTTGAAATTTGTAGTTTTGTGTAACAGTATTCATAGAACATGCTGAAGTTATAAAAAATAATGAAGGCTTAATATTTTGATTCGAATGACCATCACTGAAAGTGTTAGAAAGCGTTTCATTATGTGTTATCAATCGCATCTTCTCGGGTCTATTCTGCTAGCACATGTACTTGTTTCTGAAATAAATTTTAACCCTTGTATCATGTATGATTTATAAATATTAAATACATGTATTAAATGTGTATAATTATAAAACAGGTTATCTAACTCCGAATTACACTCGATACCCCCTCCTCAGAAACGCATAGGGGTGAAGCGATACGCCTCCTTCACGGTTCGATACATATCATAAAATTGAGTCTCAGTTTGGTTATTTTTAATACGATACATTTTGATAGAAGGAAACAAATTCAACCATTGTTTCTTGCTTCCTTTAACTTAATCTAGTCAAATAATTTATGTGCAAAATGGATAGAAGAAATCAATTTAATTGATTTGACGGTTAAAAACTATTTTACAAACTTTTAGTCCACAAAAATTTACGTTTTTAAACTAATTATACAGAGAAGCACGTTTATACC